GAGAGAGAGAGAGAGAGAGAGAGAGAGAGAGAGAGAGAGAGAAAGAGAGAGAAAGTGTGTGTGCGTGCATGCATTTTTGTGCTACTTGAACCCATATACCAAATTGAACCCAATACCTCACCTGTACTAGGAAAGTACAAGTACCTCTGGTTATACCAGGATCTCAGATGAGTTGATTAATCTGGTCTTGGACTTGTAACCTCTTGTCTCAGCCTTCGCTAGCAGTGATTATAGGCCTCTTCCACCAGACTCAGCAATGGTTCCTTTTTTTCAGTCACCCAGCTTTGAACTTCATTGTAAGCAAATATTCGATGATCACTAAACAGCAAGAATGATAATTGAATGATAAATGACATGAAGACATTAAAAAAAAAAAAAAACTTTAGAGCAACTCTGTCTAGTTAGTATTTTATAATATACTGTGAAATTGAAGTGATACAAAAGAGTGAAGGAAGAGACTTAAGGTCTAAAGTATAGTGATGTAATAGGATGGTTACTAAATGCTTTCAGGCATTTCAAACCATTTTGAATGCTTTGTGTACCAGAACTAGTTAACTAGTAGATAGTATATTTGACAGTACAGTAAGTTGTTTTTGAAATGTGGTAATTGAAGCTAAAGTCTTAAAAACCTTAGGAAAACTACTGTTAAGTTGTTGAAGGTGTTATTTTAATTTAGAATAATGTTTTTTAAAATTATTAGGAAGATTTAAGAGAAAAATTTACTAAAATAACATGACCTTTGAAAAAGCAGCATGTTTTACATTCAAAGTTGATTTTTACATTCAAAGTTGAAAACTGGAACATTTTCACATGATATAATACTGACTTGTAAAGTTAAGCCATCAAAGTAGAGGATGTTTGCCATAATTTCCACTTCTCTTATATGAAAGTTATATAATGATGGCATTGATTTCCCCCCCACACCCCCCACGGGATTCTCTGTGTATACTTTTGGTGCCTGTCCTGGATCTCACGCTGTAGCACAGGCTGGCCTCGAACTCACAAAGATTCACCTGTCTTTCCCTCCTGAGTGCTGGGATTAAAGGCGTGCACCACTGCTGCCCAATGATAGCATTGATTTTTAACATTAATGAATCTTTATATAAAATTTGTGCTTTTTGCAAAGTTTCATATGTTAAATTTTTAATGTAGCTTTTTAATGAAATATTAAATATTTTAATTAAATATTTAATTTAATGAAATATTTTATTACATTTATTTCTTTGTGTGTGTATGTGTATTGTCTGTGTGAGCACACCCTTTCATGCATGTGTGGAGGTCAGAGGTTTGATCATATCTATTTATTTTGTGGTTAAATCTCTATTAAAGATTAGTAGAACTGCTTTTATAAAGGATTCTTTTTTCGAAATAGGTTTAGATTCATAGAAGAGTTGATAAGATGATACACATTGTTTAGTCCTGCCTCAACTTGATATGCATGCTTTGTTGATACTAGTGGGAGGACTGCCCCTTTCTGAACAGAAACGGAGGAGTGGATTGAGGGAGGGGAGCAGAGTTGGAGGGAATGGGAGGAGAGGGGAGACTGAGGTTGGGATGTAAAATAAATCAATGAATTTAATTAATTAAAAAAAGAACAGAAAATTAATAGTTGTGATCTGACCTAGCAACTCAGCGTCTAAGAACCCATCCTATGACTATGTATGCAAAAAATGTGAAAGCAAGCAGTCCCTAGCGTGATGAATAAACATTGCTAACATGATACCCTATCACTTTTAGAAAGATTGTTTAATTGATCTAAGATCATTGGTGGGGACAATCACTTAGAGATTTCTGAAGGATAAATACAACCTTATATGTCGCACTTTTTGTTATCAACACCTTCATAAGTGGCCAATAAACAAGAAACAATGCTTATTTTAAAGAAAAAAAAGATGATGCACATCTTAAATATGTATCTCATGCATAGTTTCTTTGTTAACCTTGGGTTTTTGGATTTGGGGTGATTTTTGTTGTTTTGTTGTTGTTGTTTGTTTGGGTTTTTTTTTTTTTTTTTTTTTTTGGTTTTTCGAGACAGGGTTTCTCTGTGTAGCTTTGCGCCTTTCCTGGAGCTCACTTGGTAGCCCAGGCTGGCCTCGAACTCACAGTGATCCGCCTGGCTCTGCCTCCCGAGTGCTGGGATTAAAGGCGTGCGCCACCACCGCCCGGCTCGTTTGGGTTTTTTATTTTGTCTGGGGTAACATAATCTTACTTTGCCATTCAATCTACCTACCAAGAAGGTGGGTTTACAGGCACAGGTCACTTGTTGCCACACCAGCCTTGTGTCATCTTTTCAAACACATTTAAAGTGTTACCTACAACTAAAAAAAAAATCTTGATATTTGTTTTGTTGTGGAATTTTGTACTCAAAGATGTCAATTCCAGATGGAATTGTGAAATTTTTATTTACTTATTGTGTGTATATAAATGTTCATGATGCTGAGGTCAAAGGACAACTTCCCAGAGTCAGTTCTCCCTTTTGCTATGTGAGTCCCAGGGATTGCTCTGAGGACTTGAGAGGGGACAGCCACCTTTCTTTACCCACTGACCTCCTGTCAGCTTGAGATAGGACTTTTACAATAGTCACTGAGTAGTCAAGATTCATTTGCATCAGTCCAGCACCATTGTATCGTTGGGCATTGCTTAAATTCTTGTAGTGAAATAGTAGTCAGTTTTCATTTATATGTGGAAAATGGAATGAGAATTCTTGTTTTGTTCTTTCAGAGAAGGAATCAGCATATTCCTTACAGAAATAGTAAGCTTACTCGCTTGTTGAAGGATTCTCTGGGAGGAAACTGCCAAACTATAATGATTGCTGCTGTTAGTCCTTCCTCTTTATTCTACGACGACACATATAACACTCTTAAGTATGCTAATCGTGCAAAAGACATTAAATCATCTGTAAGTGCATTTATTTTGACTTTGTTGTGAGAATATTGAGTATATGTTATTTTTATGACTCTAATTAAAGCCTTAATTAGAGTCATGTTTCGTTAATGAATTTGGCAATATGAGTTACAAATGTCCTAGCTGGCTACTGAACTTTAACTTAGTCACATTTTTGCGTCTTGATTACTTATGCAGTGGATATTGTTATTCATTCTTATGGGTGCTAGAGTACTTCGTTGGTGCCTTTTCCTTCGCTTCACATCATGGCACGTGGTGTTTGGATGTCATTATGGAATCATTAGCCAAGGATTTGATATATTTACATTTTTATTTAATGTAGTAAATATTTATAGGTGATATTACAGTTTATTTGAGCACCAACTAATAATACCAACCGTGGTTTATAACATTCTTTACAAATGAATTTTCATGTACATAATATTGTGCTAAATCAAGGAGTATAACAGTGACTAGTTAGGGAAATGTTCTTTGCCTAAATTTTGGGATACTTTAAAAAACATGCAGGTTAAAACATACCTACTTTAAAATTGCAGGACCTTGGGTTAGGAAAGACCTCAGTTGATATGATGTCCCCTTGACGACTCCCTTTCCTCCTTTATGTGTCTGAAGATAAGCAGTGTGACACCCTATAAGAAATGTCCAGATGCTATTTATGTGAAAGGCCAAACTATATGAGTGTACAAAGATTTTCACACATTTTTCAGGTCCTTACTCCAACCCATTGTGGACATTTCTAGTTTTGTTTTTTATGCTCAATTTTACAACTGTGTAGGCCAAAGCTTGAAGAGCTTTAGGTATTTGATTCTAACTCACTTAAACAAGAAATTTCCAGAATATTAAAAGCTAGCTATGTTTGATTTTCTTCTCACTATTCTATAAATGTCAGTGGTGTCATACTGTTGTAGAAAATATGAAAAATAATAAAAAAACTAATGTGAATTCAAGCATGAAACAGAATTCTGAATTTTTTAAAATAACAAAGAAAATAGGTAATTTTTTTATTATATTGTGCATAAATACGGGTTTTTTCTGTAAGCCAATTTGTTTATAATTTCATATACATATACATACTCTCCTTGTCACAGATTTTAAATATAGTCATAATTAATCATAATGCTCAATAGTTGTAGTTGTCAAAAAGTCAAAATCGGTGGAACCATATTAATGAGATACAATGTCACTTCGTGCTGTATTTAACTGTGTGATTATAATCATAGTTTCTATCTTTTGGCAGTTGAAGAGCAATGTTGTTAACGTCAACAGTCACATATCTCAATACGTAAAGATCTGTAATGTGCAGAAAGCAGAGGTATGTCTACTGTTCTCAGTGATCCGATAGTTTCCTGCAGTTCTTCCCTTAAGGGATGCTTTATTCCTTGTTGTCTCAAATTTAATGCATTTCCTATTATAGTGGAAATCTGGTTTATTTTATTATTATTCATAACTGAACTTTTGCTGTGGCCATGTAAGATGGAGACAAATAATTTGATTTGTATTTTAATTAGTGTTTTCTCTGCTAGATTTTGATGCTGAAAGAAAAACTAAAAGCCTATGAAGAACAGAAAGCCTTGACTGACAAAAATGACTGTGAAAAATTGATACATTCAAATACTCAAGACAAAGAAATTGAAAGGTAAAACTATTATGCTGTCTCGAAATATTTAGTTATGTCTTTATTAATTATCACTTTTTGTTAGGTGTCACATTGTATACCTCCATATATACAGTCAGTTGAGTTCAGGAAATTCATTTGTTTGTTCTTTGTATTAAACACTTTGGAAAGCAGTTATTTTGCTTTTACAGGTAGTTAGGAAAACCAGAAGAAAAAGCTAGTTTTGTCATGGGTGAAGTTTATTTTGAATGGTGCTTTTTTTGCCATTAGTACTTGTATAGTTTTATGAAAATACAATCTGTTAATATTGATTCTATATAGATGTACTAATTCACTTACCAGTTTTAAATTATTATCTGAGTGAGCTCCTCAGTGATGTAGAAGGATAGAATACCCACTATCTTTCTTCCACCCCTGAAGAATTGTTTTTCTTGGTCTGTTTTCTCTGAGTCAACTTGTATACTTGTCCTAATTGATAGAGGAGAAAAGTCCTTTTGAATACTAAGTTATTGACTGCTGTCATTTTGTTTTCCTCCCTAAACTTCATGTACAGCTTTGTAGATTACGTTGAATTTTAGAGTATTAATTTCACCTGATCACTACAACACTTTTTACAGTGGAATTAAGAGAGGTATTGTTTTTTCAATTACAGAATGTAGTAAGAACTCTGAAATTTAAATTATATTGAAATTGTGTGTGTGCGTGCGTGCGTGCGTGCGTGCATGTCCGTCCAGGAAGGTAGGTAAGTGTAAGTCAGTAAGTCGGGAGACAATTTTCAGGACTCAGCTAGTATTTGCTTTCCACTGTGAATTTCAGAGACTGAACTGAGGTCATTAGGCTTGTCCAAAAAGCACTTTTACCCACTGGATCATCTCAGTGGCCCAGAAGTATTAGGCTGTGTCTAGTATTCTCACACTGTGATATTTTGCAAACATCACATATAATTCTGACAGTTATTTATTTCTGTTGGTGACAAAAGTCAGTTTTGCACATCTCGTTAGGTTTCCCTATGTGCTATTGAAGTTCAAGAGCACTGAGCATACTTGTTTTTTCCTTATGTTGAAATTGTTTAATCTCCAGAGTAACCCATTACAGCATTAAATTGTTGTTATTTCATTTGGAATATAAATGTTTAATTCCACACAAATTGTCTCAACTTAAAAAAATGTTTCCTTGTTCCCCGTTTGTTTGTTTGTTTGTTTGTTTGTTTTTTTATTTATTGAGGCAGGGTTTCTCTGTATAGTCCTGGCTATCCTAGAACTTGCTCTGTAGACTAGGCTGGCCTTAAACTCAGAGATCCTGCCTCTGCCTCCTGAATTGGGATTAAAGGTGTGGGCTACCACCTTCCCGCCCTTATTTATTCCTATCAAAGAAATCTTCTACTTTGATGTAATGTGGTAGTTAATATTTAATTTTGTTAGTTAAACATGACAGTAGTTCTAATGCAATTCAAGTTTCTTGGAAATTAAACTACCAGTTTTCCAAAGCTGGAGTGATTACTTTTACAAAATTGTCAACATCAACCGTGTGTAATTTGCCAATTTAATTGTAGTCCCAGCTACTTCGGATTCTGAGGCAGAAGGATTGCAGTTTCAAGCCAAGACTGGGAAACTTAGGGTGATTGTATCCCAAAATCGAAAGCACAGACACAGTTCTGGTGCTGTAGCTCACGTGGGAGTGCTCGTCTAGCATGTGTTCAGTCCAGGGTGCCACAGTTCTGGTGGGGGAGGAGGTGGACTTACAAATTAGGAAACTTTTTAGCAGTTGATGACTTTAAATTATTCAACCTTCTCTCTATCTTTCTCTGTAACATTTTAGTTGTGTATGTGTTGGGACGGGATATATGCATGTATGTGCACGTGATACAGGTGTCCAGGGAAGTCAGAGGCATTGGATCCCTCTGGAGCACAGGCAGTTGTTATCCATACAAAATTTTGCTTTCGATAACATTTTTGTGAATTTCCTGGAGACAGTGTAAAAATGTGCAGTATTTTCTGACTCCAGAGTTTTTGTAAAGACAGTATACAAAAGGGAATCACAAAAGAAAATATAACTGTTTTTTGTAAACAACAATTGTAAAAATTCTACTGTGACTATACCAAGGAAGTGGTATGGTCTAATTCCTTACGTCTCACCTAAAAATATTAGTGCAAAATTTTGTTTTCTAGTTAATTTAGATGTTATAAATGACTAGAAAATACTTACTACTCTTTTCTTAGGATTTATTTCTGTTTCATTTCATTTTTTTAAGATGCTAACTAGAAACCCTTGATAGTGATTACTTTCTTTCCTTAATAAACACTGAACACCAGGTAAAGTGTTTAGACTACAAAATTACAAATTTGACACTATTCAACTCTGTCCTTGAATCAAAAAGTTATACAAACTAAGACATTATCTTGGGGTATAAACTAAAGATAATTTACCAGTTCCTTTACTGGTACTAGCAATGGTGTAATACCGTGCAGTGAAATCACAGTGCCTGCATGTGCGTCCTATGAACTATTCATCAGGTTAGTAAAACTGCAGGAAAGTCAGGGCACTGTGTTTATCTTCCTTCCCAGGAGAGTTTCATTAAGAACTACTGACGTAAGTTGGCAGTACCTTTACCACAGATCCTTACAAATATATCCAAAACTGCCCAAAGAACATTTTTTTTCAAATGCACAGGCTTGATTTTATTTTAAAGGCTTTATAGTTAATTTTCTTAGATAATTTTGCCTGTGTGAGATTGTTCATAAGAGTAAAATATTGTGACCAGTGTTCTGTTTGTCCTAGAAGTTGCCTGTGTGTTTCCTCAATTTTTCATAGGAATTATTCAGTTTTTGAGTCGTTGGTCCCTTGGGGTCTAATAAACTCCACAAATTTGGTTCTTTACTTTGCCCTTTGGAGAAGGAAACCACAACCACATTTCTAGGTTTGCTACATTGTTAACTTGGATGTTTTAGGTCTTGCCAGTGTCAGCTGACTGTTTGCCAAGCTGTAGGGGGTACCTAACCTTATGGTGTATTTTCACTATAATAACCTTTGAGGCTAAAACTGGTTCTCATTTTCCCTAGGGGGCCATGGAGATACCATATGATAATGCCTCCTATTGCTTTTTCTTCACAGTAAGCCAACACCAAACAGCACATGATGCTCTGTGGCTAACAGGGCTGTGAGAATTGTCATAGTACAGATCCAGATAAAATGCAGCATATTACTAATATCGGGGGCCTTGTGACTCCTAAATGTTTACATAACATGATTTTCTTTGCAGCAGGAAGAAACCTACAGTAGTAGAAATAAAGTTGATACTCCCTTTAAACATTTTTGTGGTAGGAGAAAGTTGTTTTGACCTACCTACTATTTATCATTGTGTATAGTCTGAGTGATACCATGTTATTTAAGAAAGCTATATATTAGATAATACAAACTTAATGACATATAATGGTGTGTTTTATTTTGGTAGATTTCAAGAAATTCTGAAATGCTTGTTCCAGAATCGAGAAGGAATCAGGCAAGAATATCTGAAGTTAGAAATGTTGCTTAAAGAGAATGAACTAAAGTCATTCTATCAACAGCAGTGCCATAAGCAAATAGAGAGGATGTGTTCCGAAGACAAGGTAGAAAAGGTACTTAACTACTTTATGCCTAAACTACAGAACATGGAAATCTAATTCTAGAAATTTTAGAAGCACGGTGTCTTATTCATCTGTTCTCTGAAAAACTTGGAAATACTGTGGGAACCAGAGGAAACTTTAAAAAGCAAACTTTATTTACACTTGTTCCTCTTTTGAGAGCCTGTGAGTCCTTAGGGACAGGAGAGGCAGCCTGTGCAGATTCAGGCGACACTTTACTACTTAGGCCAAGAGATTTTTTTGTTACTATTCAGAATCTTGCTAGGAATTACGGCATGATCCTAATAAAGACCTAACCAGCTTTCAGTATTTTGTACTGTTGTTTCTAAATACAGTGATGAGCTACACTCCTCCAACTACACAGACTGCTCTCACTGCCCTACCTTTGATTTGAACCACTAACAATGCAATGGCTTAAAAAAAAAGGAACTTTCAAATACAACTAGAAAGTGCAGAGATCTACACCCTTCATACTGTGGGAGACAAAGATATATCTGGGGGAAAAGGATAAGGGGTAAGAAAAAGTGTCTCATTTGAAGATTTATTAATGGTATGCATTCCAAAATGGTCATGGTCTAAGCTTTAAACACTATGTATTTTACTTAGAAAATATGTAAAGTTGACAGATAAATGACATCAAACCAGTGCTACCTCTGGGAAACCTTGCAAAAGCAGTGCGAAACTACTGAGAAATAAACCTTTAACTCTGTCTCTTACATTCACCGTAGGTAAGAGTCAGCAGACTTAGCATACCAGACAGAAACCCCAAGAATTTAGACACTAGACTAATCTAGTGGAAACTGTAAACATGGGTAGTCTTCAAAAAAGAACAGAAGGTAAAAAATCAAAGATAAAAGCACTGCCAATAAGGAATACCTAAAGGGGAGGGTCACATGAGGGAAGCAAATGAAATTTTTAGAAATTAAAGAATTTATTCACTAGAATTAAAAAAAAAAACTCACATTATCATAGTACCAGGCAATGCTTAGGCAGTTTACATATATTAATTCACCTAGCTGTCAGAAAACTCTATGAGGTATTTAATATTCTCCTTTCTAAGCAAGGCCACAGGAGGTCATTTTGTCAAGAGTAGTATAGGACCATAGGTAGCTGAGCTATGATTTAAACTCTAGTAGGCAAATGCTAGAACTTGTACTATAGCTCTGCACTTTTGCATGTTAGATACTATAGAAATCAGTATTTAAAAACTGGAAAATAGATCTAAGAAATTCAAACCAAATATAACATAAATAATGTGTGAACAAGGTGTTCTCCTATTTTTAAGCCTAGGACCCCAGCACTGGAGTTGATGTCTACACATTTAGGATGGTTTTTCTTCCTCACTTAAACCTATCTGGAAACATTCTGAGAACTTTCCCAAATGCTTTTATCTTACGTTAATGGTTCTCAACCTACGGGTCTCAACCCCTTTGGCAGTGGAGCAACAACCCTTTCACAAGGGTCGCTTAAGACCTTTGGAAAACACAGATATTTACATTATGACTCAATAGTAGCAAAATTACAGTTATGAAGTAGCAACAAAAATAATTTTGTGGTTTGGTGGTCACCACAAAATGAGGAACCTGTATTAAAGGCCGCAGTATGAGGAAGTTTGAGACCCCTTGTCTTTATTCTAAATCCTGTCAAATTGACAATTATGATTGTCCCACCATATTAGTAGTGGGGTGTTTTGTTTTGTTTGTTTGTTCTGTTTTTGTTTTTGTGCAAAGCAATATTGACACCTAACATTTTAGAATTGTGTTTTCTATCTGAAGACCTGTTTTATTCTGAATATTTTGTTCATTGGATGTATAAAGTTCTTTCAACCTCAATGGGGAAATGTGCCACTTTTATGTCCTGGATGCCAATCACTAGGGAGTGCTTTTGATGAGCATTAGAAGGCTTGTATTTCTTAAGTTTTCAGTTAGAGCCAGCCATTCTGGTGTTCAATATTATCTTCACAACCATAGAATTGTCTTCATGTCCATAGATCACTTCTTGTCCACATTTCTAGAGTCACAATACAGTTGTAAATGTTAAGGCAAAGTAAATATAATTTAGCAGCTACCTTCAAGCAGGGATAACCCCTTTATCTTCGTTTTTGAAAAGATAAAGTGACTGAAGACCCATTGAGATTGACTTGCCTGAGTTTTCACACTTTCTGAATGGCAGAACAAAGTCAGAATGTAACATCGCCCACTTCCTGCTGTGGAACTTTCTAAGCTTTGAGTTTAGGACCCTTTTCTATCATTAAAACTTGTCTAGGACTTCAAAGACATTTGTTTATAAGAGACTCTGTCTACCAATATTGTATTAGAAATTACTAATGCAATTTACAGAAATACAAGTTTTTATTTATTTTTAATCTTTTTTATTTATTTCTATTCTTTTTAAAGATTTATTTATTTATTATGTACACAGAAGAGGGTGCCAGATCTTATTACAGATGGCTATGAGCCACCATGTGGGTGCTGGGAATTGAACTCGGGACCTCTGGAAGAGTAGTCGGTGTTCTTAACCTCTGAGCCATCTCTCCAGCCCCAATCTTTTTTATTTTTATGGTTTTTCTAGATAGAGTGTTTCTATGTAATGCCCTGGCTGTCCTGGAACTCACTCTGTAGACCAGGCTGGCCACAAACTCACAGAGATCTGTCTGCCTCTGCTGCCCAAGCGCTGGGATTAAAGGTGTGCACCACTACCACCACCACCCAGCAAAATACTTGTTTTCTTATAATTATAGTTTTATGGAGATAACTGATTGTTTTCCAAAACAAATGACAGCTTGTGAGAGCAACAGCATTGTTTTACCTCCTTCCAACTCTGTGCCTGTCTGCACAACAGCTATGTTCTCTTATCTGCTTCTAGGGTATTCCATAGTACCTTCCTTATACCTCTGTTAGCTCCTGGAAACTCTTATCCTGATGTACCATTTGGAATTAAAAAGGCTGGCTGGAGAGATGGCTCAGTGGTTAAGAGCACTTGTTACTCTTGCAAAAGACCTGGGTTCAGTTTCTAACATCCATGCGATGACTCACAGCCATCTGTAACTCCATTTTTGGTGACCTTATGGCCTTTTGTGACCTCTATCAGCACAGAAATGCACATGGTGTATGTTCTTACATCCAAGCAAAGCGCTCATACACATTCAAATCAGTCTTTTTAAAATTTTGTAAAGACTCAAAACTTATTTTGATCCAGTAGGTGCTCTGAAAGGACCCCGGGCATCTTTGTGTGAGAACTACGGTGCCTTCCAGTTTCCCCCAAAGTTCAAGGACTTTTGCAGTGTGCATTTGTTGTTAGCCTTTCGTATTCCATCCTTCCACTGTGGGAGAAGACAGGTCTTTTGGTTATTTAAGCAGCTGTTTTGTTTTGCTAAGGTCTTGCCATGAGAAAAAGAATGATGTAGGACCTGGTTAGAGAAGTGACAGTAAGAGCTAAGAACTTGGATGACAATGACAGTGCTTATCAACCCCTGTCCCTGATCATTGGACTCTAGTCTTCTGTCGGTCTGCTTCTCCTTCACCATTTTGTTTTCCATGAAGGGAAGTTAAATGAAGTGTCTAGGTATCTGGAATCTGTCTGTGGCTTACTGGTAACCACAGTGGCTTAACACTCAATATTTAGAAGCTAATATCCTCCACCAAAATGAAACTGCTCTGAATTTACTTATGTCATCTGCCTGAAAATATTAATAATTAATAATTTTTAGAAACACTAAAAACAATGATTTATTACCTGAGGAAGATAGGGTCTTCGACCAAGTACACACAGCTCTGCTCTTTATTTGTTGCTGCCTGGGCTCTGCTTCAGAACCAGCTGCAAGTGTTCTAATCTCTAAGGACTGATTGGTTCAGGTATACCCCTCATATATGGTAATCATTTAGTTCGGTGTCCATTGGCAAATTACCAAGACCAAGCTATTCTGACACAAATGACTCCCATGTCAGCATGCATAGCCTTTGGGGAGAAAAATCAGCCAAATCGGACCAAAGCTATTCGTGAAGATGTAAAATACCCAAGACACTCAGTCTCCATTATGGTACCCAGCCTGACCATAGTTGAGGTTAGGTATTGATAAATGCTCCAATACTTTTTTCTCTGTCATTTAGAGCAGACAAATTAGATCAGTACAACTTTTTTTTTTTTTTTCCGTCATATATTTCAGACAAGAACAGAGTGTGCATGCTTTTTTGAGTAAGGAAATCATGGAATTTATCTAACCTTATATGAACTTTACAAATGTATCATACGAAAAAATGTTATAGTTTTCCATTTGACCACTACGCTTCTTAAAACCATAAACTCTCAAGATGTAATTTTTATTAAATGACTCATAACTGATTTCCTATTTTGCTGTGATATTTTAATAGGGAAATAGCAGCATGGCTTAACATTTTGTACTATACCAACATAAGAAAATGTATGACTTTTTGAGTATTGTACACATCAGATATAAGAATTAGTTATATTATTAAATACATTGTTGTGTTTCAGGCCACTTGCAAACGAGATCACAGACTTGAAAAGTTGAAAACTGTTCGCTGTTTCCTAGAGAAAAAGAAGGAAGAAGTGTTGAAACAATTTGATGAGAATACTAATTGGCTCCATCGAGTGGAAAGTGAAATGAGACTCTTGGGTCAAAATGGTGACATTCCAGAGGTACAAATATGTATATGTAGTTAGATTTAATCCTAGAAACTGAGCTCCTTAAATTTCTTATATTTCTTGTTGAATAAATAGCTTTCATATGACAACGGTTGCCCTATTTCTCTGAGATTTACTTAGTTCACTTTACTGTTTTTAATGACTATATCTTCAGCTCACTAATTACCTAATTGGTTTGTGGTTTCGGTTTTCAGAAGGGTCAATTTATTTTTAAGTGGTTTTTAAGTAACTGTCCTTTGTGAAGTAACTCTTAAGTTAGAATTAAGCAATTCTGTTTCAATCTAGTTAAGGCTTCATCATCTAGGCCTCTTAAACTTTTCCACTCACAAGGTCTTTTTACCTTAGTAATTTTTCTGTCATCCAGAATATGTAAGTATGTAATAGATACACAGATCAAGAGTTTACACATTATAAATAATGGAATTTATTTTAAAGCAGTAGTTCTTTGGAGAGTGAAAAGTTGTGTGTGTACCATTATTAAAGGCAGAAGCAAATTTGAATACTAATGAAGTAAATGATCTTATTAATAGGGCAACTTTTCAGAATTCATCAGGGTTTTTTTTTTAATGATCTGGAATAGCAAGAATGTTACCTTTTTTTAATAATGCATAGTACAAAATGGCAGAGGTTTACTTAGGGCCATTTTAGAAATGATTGGAAGTTATTTCATGATCACAGCAAGCCAAAAGTCATTTACTGATGTTTTATGAAATTCAGTCAACATCTCAAATAGTACAATAAGAAAATACAAAAATTTGAAACTTAGATGCTGAGGAACAACAGTAAGAAAGTCTTTATTTTCCGTAAGTAAACCATTGTGTTTCTATAGAATAGAAATCTTTGTATGTGCAGTAAAAGCACAGTTCTTAACATGCAAGAGTATTGAATGCGAGCCAGTGTGTTTCAGACAGCTTTCATTGGCATTACCCAGTGCAGAGTGCTATATATTAAGGACTCATTTTACAATGAAGTTGTGATTCGGTGTGAGGATATGCAGCCAGAAATACATCTTCCTATTTACACATTTGATAATGAATTAATTTGTGATGATTGTGTCATCAAAACCTTTTACTGTGGCTATGTTATTCTACACACCAATATGGGAGTGCACTCACCAGTTAAGAAGGTAGGAAGTGGATAGTTTAAGTTTTAAACTTGATACATTCATTTAAAAATTAGCTAAAGTATTTGTAGTTTTAACATATTGCCTTTTCAACTTCGTAGTACTTATAGAGTTAATATTATTTGAGTTATTAACATTGAATTTAGTTTTTTAATATTCTCACATATAATTTTTCAAATAAATTGTTGTTTGTTGAGAGATCTATGTAGCCCTGGCTGGCTTGAAACTCATTATGAGGACCAGGCCGGCCTTGAATTCATAGAGATCTACCTTCCTTTGTCTCTCCTAGTCTCTACCACACTCTCCCTATCCGAAGATACTTCCAGCAGTATTTCTGTACACCAGACTATAAGCCAGTATTTTTAGTCCTTTTTATATTTTTTTATAGATAACACAAGAAAGAAAGCCAACACTTTGTAGTTCTACCACCTAACTCCTCAGTTCTATTTTTGTAAGATGTTTCACAGCTGAAACAATTATCTAGTCATAAGCACTTACTTCCTGTATAAACAAAATGTGAGGTGACTTCACGGAAAGACTTAACCCAAGGTCCAGCAACTCATGACAAACACTACTTTTTTATGAATTTGAAATGAATGCTGTTTTCACTATACCCTCCTTCATTATCTGCTTTTTAATCACACGTCTTTATCCAGAAGTACCACAATTGTAATTCATACTACCAACTCCCCCACCCCCGTTATCATACTGAAACACTTGACCTTTCTGATTTTCTCTACTACAACCAACCTAAAAATTTGAGGGCTACCATTGACAGTATCACCCTTCAGTGTCTTGCCCCTACTGTAAACTATGATGGCTGACCAAACCTGGTGCAATCTGGCCCCTCGTGTTTCTAAAGCTAGCTATTACCTCCCATTGTACTCTCTACTTCAGTTGGTGTTAGCTGACTTGTACTTCTTGTACTTGTGGTGTTCTCTTCAGATGTGATCACTTGGTGACAAGAACACACTAAAATTGCAATCTTGGTTTTCCCCAAGGCCTATGATTACTGGGTAGGAAGAGTGGTTGCAGAGGAAAAAAGGAAGAGCTGGGTTTTATTGTTTGGTTTGTTGTTTTGTTAGGAAAACAGTTGGAACTATTTGGAAAACATGTTTCCGCACTTATTTGATTTTCTAACTAAAAAAACTATAAGGAGATGATGTAAGATGAATCAGTTCAGCTCTTACACTTTAGTCAAGTAAACTGATCTCCATAAAGGCCATGTATTTGGCTTGAGCTGACATTTGTTTTAAGACTGAGCATATCCCTAAAAATCAAATGACTCATAGGTCAATCCTCTAGACATATCCTGATTCCATAAAAAGTGTTTTTATCCAAAATACATGATATATTTCTTGAGGTATAAAGGTGAATTATGTAAATGAATTGTGCTGACTAGTTTTATGTCAGCTGGATGCAAACGAAAGTCATTTTTAAAGACAAAACCTCAATTTAGAAAATGCCCCCACCAGACTTGCCTGTGGGCAAGCCTGTGCTACATTTTCTTGAATCTCAAAGACCCTACTTAGCACTGGTGCAGGAAGTATTTCATATTTAACATACCTGCTGAAGAGCCTACATTCCTTTGTCATTACTACAACAATATTTATGTCTCCTCCTTTGATCTTTAGCATAATAAATTGATAATCATAAAAATAACCCCAACCCCTCCCCCCCAAAAAAAGACATCTAAATCTATACTTTAGACAATCCATGTTTAACTGTAGGCTAGAAGGAGTATGGAAAAAAATCCAAATAGAATATTAAATTTTTTACTAGAAGAAAAATTCCAGGCATAGCTGTACTGTTTATTAGATTGTGAGCTTACCAATCCAAATGTTCCCAGGAATACATTTTTTCATTTCACAATTAAAGATGCTGATACTGCTGTTTTTTGTTTGTTTTTGTTTTGGGTTTTTTTTTTTTTATGCTTTTCTAAATCCTCTGAGCTGATATTTTTTTGTATTTAGGATTTAATGAATTTCAGGAAAAGTGAGTAAATTATAAGGGGTAAATTAGAGAGTACTTGGCCCTAGATAGAAGAGCATTGAGAAAATGGAAATATTCAAAAGACTTTTTATTCTTTTTCTAAGGTGATGCTTGTAAGAATGTAAGGGATAAGAGAGAGAGAGAATTATATAGCATGCAACTCAACACTGGCCTGTATACTGAGCTAACCTGATCATAGTCCATCCTTGGATGAACCTTACCTTTTAGTAGAAATGGAACTGCAGAGTGAATCTATAGCATTCTTATTGGTCAATGCTATTGCAGTGTTGGAAGATGAAAGATTGCCCATCTTTAAATGTAGTATTCAAGGAATGCCTCTTTTGGTGGTAGCATTTAAGTAAAAACGTCTGGTACAACTGTATTTTCACAACATTGTGAATAAATTAGGTCAATGGAAAAGCTGTCATCATAGAATACCTTTTTCTAGATGCTTAACATCTATTTACTGAAGAAATTGAAACTCTTACCTTGCTGGTAAGTTCTAGACTTACCTAGTTTTATGTTTATCTTGACTCAAATTAAACTCATTTGGATAAGATTTCTTACTGTCTAAATTTCTCAACGTTTTTTATGTTTTTTAAAAAGACCTTGTTGTCCACACAAATAAGTTATATTAAAATTAGCATAATTCTTCTAAAAATCTAAAATACATTTTTCATTATTGTCCCTAGGTACTCAATAAAGATCTTCATTGTCACCATTTACACCTCCAGACCAAAGACCTGCAAACACAAATGGGACACATGAGAGCTCTAGCTTGTCTCCAGGAGCAGCAGCACAGGCAGACTGAAGCGTAAGTACACCGAGTTGGACAGTCGACCGATTTTAACGCTGCAGGAAATTGAAATTTGTCTGATAAGGGATTCATTAATTTCAATTGTTTGTCAGCACCAGAAAACACACAGGAAGAAAACATTGAGAGAATGTGAAGGAAATGATTCTTTCCTAATAACTAATTTTTTTATAATACTTTGTAGTTTTTCAGTGAATTCTCCTTTTTAAGATTTTATGTTTTGTGCTAAAGAAATTAAAACTGCTATTAACATCAATTAAATTAGATCATGTTTAGTTATTAGTAATTTCAGAATGATTTTTTTATGGGTTTGCCTTCTTGATTTTCTGCCTTCTGCATTCTTCCCAGTCTTCAGATGAAGTCTGGGTCCCTACCCAGGGCTTCAGCCCAGTCTGATGAGCCTCACCTGCACCTTGGCAACCTCTAAGCCTAGACCAGGAGACATCCTGTTTGCCAGCCAATCCTTCTGTAGGCACATGAGACATGCAATCAAAAGAAAAATCCATGTACTTAAATCTCATTACTATTACTAGCTTTTAATGAGCATCAGGTGTCTCAATTATTTTATAATCTTTATTAATTAAATAATTTTCTTTGACAATTTCACACATGTATGTTGTGACCATTCCCACCATCTCCACCCTCTCTCATATCGATGCTATCTTCTGCCCTTTCTTCCCCATGGACCACCTTTTCACCTTCCGTTCTGGGGGGGGGGGGTTATTAATTGGTTTGGTTTGGTTTGGTTTGGTGACCCAGCAAGTTTAACCAGGCCCATCTGCACGATCATCAATTTGAAGCTATCCACTGAAATCTCCTGGGCTCAGCGATGGATACACAACTGGAGACAGTGATTCCCCCTTTCCCAGTAATTCAGCAGTAACTGGCAGGGCACCTGGGGCCCCTCGCCCTTCCTCTGCTGATGGTTGACAGGGCCAGTGTTGTAACAGCAGTTGTTATAAGTTCATGATTACAATGGCTGTATCGTCTAGAGGATAGCATTTGCAGCACTTCCCCCTGTCTTCTGTCTTCCATCTTCCGGCTCTGAGATACTTCCAGTGTCTTCTTTCATGATGTTCCTTGAGCCTTAGAAAGGGTGGTGTAAATGCCTGATTTAGGGCTGAGCCCTCAGCCATCACTTTTTCTCAGCCTCTTTGGCAGCTGCAACTCTCCAAATTCATCATTGTTCACTGCAGAGACTTCTCTGATTAAGGTTAATAGTAGCTTTTTAGGCATGGGTATAAACATAGAAATTTATAAGGCAGTTAGATGCAATCGGTTTAGTTCAACAGTAGTGAGTTACCCACTTAGCCTGTGACTTCCGCTGGCATAGGTGCTAACCGGGCTTCAATCACCGGCATGAATTCAGTCACATGGATTGTGCTTCAGATCTAGTCAGATGGTTACCCTACCTTTTTTTTAATTAAATACCATTTTTCATTTATTTTGCATACCAGCCACAGTCTCCTCCCACCCACCCCCACCGCCGCCACTTTTGCACAGGTTGTAGCACATCTTGCCCAGAAAACTGGTGGGGTTTTGCTTGTTTTGGGGGACTCATGGGGTTCACAGCTGGTAAAACCACTACAACCTTAGTAGCATTCTCCAACACTTACATTCCACTAAATTAAAAAATAAAATCTACAAGAAATAGATGAATTTCTGCATGCATATAAGCCACCAAAATGAAGCAAAAATGAAATAAATCATTCAAACAGCAACAACAGTGTACCAACAATAAAAAGACCAGATGGATTTACTGCAGATCATATCAGACGTTCAAGGAAGTAATACCAATGCAATACATATTGCTCTGTAAATGGGAAAGGAAGGTAAGCTTCCAACTGTATGGACGTAGCATTACCGTGATACCAAAACCCAGATAAGCACACACACGTACAAACTGTTATGATGAACACAGATGTAAAACATCTTGATATAATACTGACATACTGAATTTGAAATCACAACAGAAAGATTAGTCATCATGATCAAGTTAGCTTCATTTCAGATTCAGGGGTTCTGCATATATAAATCAATAAGTGTAATACATCACAAAATGGATAATCATGATTATCTCCAGAAACACAGAAAAGGCCATTGACAAAATCCTGTGTCCCTTTATGGCGTAAGTCAGGAGACGACACTGGATGTGCTACAGGATGCACAGAGCATATACTTCAGCATAATAAAGGCTATGTTTGATGGACCTGTAGCCAGCATGGTGCTAAATGGAGAAAGCTCAAAGCATTCTCACTAAGATTAGAAATTTGTCAAGGGTGACCATCCATTCTTTCCACTTCTGTCAACTATAGTGCTTGAAGCCTGAGCTAGGACATTAAAGCAGGATACGGGGTGACAAATGTAAGAAAAGTCCAAGTTTCCCTACTTGAAGATGATACGGTTCTGTAATTAAGAGAGCTTAATGACTTCGCTAAAAGCTCTTGAAACTGACCAACGCTTTGCAGATAGTGGGATGCAAAATGAACACACTGCCACAGAAGCCTTCCTGTAACTCCAGTGACAGATATGGGAATAAACCTAACCGTGAAAACAAAAGACCTCTACAATGAAAATTCTTAAAACACTGAGGAAACCAGAAGATCTCCCTTGTTCATGGATTGGGAGATTTAGTGAAAATGGCCAAAGTGTTTCTGTTTTTATGTGTTTTTATATTTACTGTACAGCTCACTAATAGCATTTTTATTCTCAAATTTTTTAAGTGTATGATTTTCTTAAAAAGTGTAGCTTGATCTCTTTTGTCATCTTTTATAAATCAATTAGTTTCTTAGGTAAGCATTGCTTTGAGGTTATATAAAAATGAGAGGTTTGTTTCTCTACGGGGCTGCCATTCAGAAATCCCATTAGCATTCCACAGGTATTCTCAAATTACTCATGATTAATTTTCTATGCTTTTGATTTAAAGTAAGCTATTTTTAAGATGAAGAAAAACTGAATAATTATTTTATAAATGGGAGCTTACACACTTTCCCCCCCACTCATTGTGGATCTGCAGCTACAGCACATCACCATCACTTGCTATCAAGTAACATGTAGGAGTTTAGACCTTCAGAGACATGGTAGTTTATTTTAACCCCACTGTGTTATTATACCAGACACAGATATTGATATGCCTGAAATAAGCTTTTACCTTAATAATGATAAAATGAATTCTAACTGATTTCAAGAACTGATAAACCAAAACATCTCAAAAGCGATATGACATTATAGAACATGAGTAAGTTTTTTGGACTCAATCTTTAATTCTGTTTATTTTAGCAATATATCCTTGTAGAAACTATATAGCATTGATAAGGCTTAGATTTCTCATTCATAAAAATAAATTATTATGCAAACATAGCATGGTACCTGATTCTTAAAACCATTCCCAGGTTTAAGGATTTACTAGTGTTCATGAGATTCACAGTTATACTTAAAGCTGTGAGTTAGTTTAGCAAAACAATACAAAATAAAATCAGCAAAATGGAAAGGTATATAGTATGGTCTGGAAGAGCCTGGACAATTAAAGTGTCAAGAATCTTGTTAAGTGCCAGACATGATGGTATTTGCCTTTAACTCTAGCATGACAGAGGCAGCTACGGAAGGATGATTGTAAAGTTGAGGCTCTCCTGGTCTGTGTGGCAGTAGTGAGAGTCTAGCTTCAGAAAGGAGGAATCTTGTGCAATGAGGCACAGGATATGCTTAATTTCAGCAAAAAGCTGTGACATCACATTGGAAATTGGGTCCTGTCAGTGCCTCAGGGTTTTATTGGCATGATTTCCTGCACACCTCTATCTGATAGATAAAAATTTCAGGCTTTCCAAAGGAAGGTTAGGCAGTCCCAATAATGTCTGTTGCTTAAATACACACTTTAAATAAAGTGAAACACTCATCATTTCCAATCTGGAAATTATGGAAATATTCCTACCATCAAAAGCAAAGCTTTCCTAGCACTTTCAGACCTAGTAATCTTACTCCACACAACAATACAGTTGCTACAAGTACGGGGTTGTGTAAGTATATCCCACAGTAGCTGTGCTTTTCACAGGTCCTCAGTCCCTTTCCAACACTCACTGCTCAAAATTGTTCACTTTAGATCTCTTTCTGTGTAGTTACTGTATTAGATTGTATATTCCCTATACCAAAATGTCTGTAAGTTTGATATTGATGAAACTGTTGTAAGTCTAGCTGCTTGGCCTATCAAGAAACCATAGGTGAGTCATGAGCCAACAAGTGTCAGAAGAGACTTAGGACTTGTAAAATGACAGGCATATACCAGGTTCCAGCCAGGTATATACCCCCAAAGTCACACAGAAACTACTACAACCACTAATGAAGCCTGGTTTTCCTGATTTCCATCCAGGTTTCTCTTTATACTGGATATGTTAAGTATATGTTGATCTCTTTGAGTGAAATTACATTTTTTTACAAAGCAAATTTGAATTTTGAAAAGATTTTCATATTGATGGGTACTAAGGGAGAGGTGGAAAGATAGTCTTTAGGAAAGGACATTTTGACCTCGCCTAGACTGGGTGCAGGCTTTACAAGAGAATTTACCAAGTAACATAAAAGAAATCATAGGAAATCATTTTAATTATATTATAATACTTTGCTTGCTATACAAAAGAACCATAATAGCGTGTTTAAAACTTTGTGTTTCTTTCTCCTTTCTTGTCATCTTCTGTTTGTAGAGTATTGAATGCTTTACTTCCGGCCCTAAGAAAAATGTATTGTGTGTCAAAAGAAACTGGCCTGTCAAACACTGCTTTTGATGCTGACTTCAAAGATATTGAGCATTTGGTAGAGAGGAAGAAGATGGTGGTTTGGGCTGACCAAACTACCGAGCATTCAAACCAAAATGATCTTCCAGGGATTTCTCTTCTGATGACCTTCCCACAGCTCGCCCCAATTCAGTCTATTCCTTGTTGTAAGTACAACTTTTTATTTTACTCAGTAAGTGGTAGCATTATTTCTAAGGACATTGTTTATATTCCAGTCTACAGAACAGTCGATTTCTTTTCAATAGATCTAGTTATTTGGATGATTGCTAACGAAGAAGCTAGCTTCCAAGGAATTTTAGTTAACAAGAATCTCCCAGGGCCTGCCAGCGTGTGTCTACTGATGTTCTGAGTAACTAGCAGTATCATTTACTTCTCTTTCTTATTTAAATTTTAACTTCAGTTGAAGACTAAAGTTTATAATAAATAATACTATACTCTATAATATATAATACTCTAACCTTAAGAGTAACTAACACCTTAGAATTTACTATTTTTCTATTGACATTAATTATCTCTCATTTTTCTACAAAATTGTGCATAAGATACTTTCATTATGAAACTAATATAAAATCTTGGTTTAAAATAACACTTTCTAGCAATGTAGAATACCAATCAGAATGCCCTGTCTTTGAGATAACTGATGTTACCAATTTGGTGATTTTTATATGCTCTCTCTCACTTGAACATTCTGTCTCCCCTTGAGCTCTCTGGGTTCTTACACAAATATGTTTTTATTGTGTAAGCCTCGCTATTTGTAAGGTTTCACATTACATTTTGGTCTGCAACTTTTCTCGGTTCCTTAGTTTTCTGTAAACATTTTAAGTTTAAGTACCTAAATCAGGAATTTACCTCATTTAAAAGTTTGAGGACCTACAAAATAAAGTTGCAGTGATTTAATCAGTATTCTGTTGACTAGTGCATTAGAGATTATGTCTGTGTATATTACTCAGAATTTGCATTGCTGAGAACAGATACCTGAGAAAGGTTTTATTTTGATCAAAGATTTTGCAAAAGATTCAGTCCATGGTCACCTGAGCAGATCATACTGTGAGCAGAAGCACATTGTGGAGGAGTTGGCAAACAGGGAGCAGAGAGGGGGTGGGCTGGGGGCCAGGGATAACCTTGAAATTTTGCCCACCTCTTCCAGTGATGCCCAACCTCCAAAAGTTTACAAAGCTTCCAAAACAGCACCCACAACTGGTTTAACACATGAGCCTGTGGGAGACATTTTATATTCAAACCATAGCTATATGTATTTACATCTGTGCTTTCCTAGAAATTGATTTGCTAGATTAGAAAACAAAAACAATTTTTTCAGTTTAAGCACTTTGAATATTCTGAGTCCCCAAAAGTAAAAGTTATTTGTATAATACCTAAAATCCCAGGTGCCTCAAAACTGAAACAGAGCCAATGTGACAATCAGAAGTTTTGGATTTGGGCTCATTTTGTATCTTCAAATTAGATATGTCTATACCAATATTCCAAAGAAAAAAGAAAATATCTGAACAATTGTGGTCTCTAGTGTTTAGGATAAAGGATACTGTATCTGTACCTAGTACTTATAAAAGTACATGTTTAATTTTTATGTAAACCAGAACAGTGACACATGCCTTTAGAATCTGTTACTTTGAATTGCTAGTAACATTGATATATCTTCTATTATATATCTTTGGTGTTTGTTGAGTCAGGGTTTTTGGTGCTATTTGGGATTTTAAGGGGAGTTTGATTTTTAGACGGGGTCTTGACTATGTAATTCAGACTGGCCTGCAACTTGAAGCCAAATCTGGCCTCAAACTTGAAATCCTCCTGCTCCTGCCTCTGCATCCTGAGTACTGGATTATTAGTATATACCACTACACTCAGTGCTTTATCAAATCTTTAGTTGTTCTGTATTCTTACATGGATGTATTCAATTGTGGAGAATTGTCTAGTGACCTGGTATCATGAAGCTTTGTTACCCCTCACTCTCAGTGCACCCAATGTTTCTAAGTATTTTTGTCACTTCCTCCAGCAACACTGCAATGGCTCTTCTTGGTTGTCAACTTGATACACCTTGGATGGGATGAGAGACCTGCTACTGAGAAAGAGCCTCTCTCAGATTGGCCTATGGACATGTCTGTGGGGCATTTTCTTGCTTTCTAAGTGATGGGGGAGGGCACAGGCCCCAGAAGGTTGTGTAAGGAATCTCACTGAACAGTAGTAGTGATCAAGCCAGTAAGCAGTGTCCTTCCATGAGTGGTGCTTCAGGTCTTGCCTCCAGGTTCCTGCCTGGAGCTCTTGTCCTGACTTTGATAGATGATAGTAGGCTAAGGTAAACCCTTTTCTCCCTAACTTGCTTTCATCAGTATTGATCACAGGAACAAAACCCAGTCTTCAACAACCAGCAAACAGCTGTAAAGAGAGATTAGTTTTAATTTCAGAAATGACCATCCTAAGCTTCCAGCTTCTTCTTCTACGTCTCAACAGTTTTGTTAACAATCCAGTGCTTTCAAACTGATGTTTTCACTTTGTACAGATTTTTTTTAGTTGTCTTCTGAAGAAAGATTAATTTGGATTAGCTATGTCTCTTTTACCAGCAGAAGGTGAAAAATGTTTACATGCAATGTGTTGATCATATTCTTTCCCTACCCCCAGCTCCTCCCAAAACCTCTCCCCCTTACTCCCCATGTAACTCGTGCTCTTTCTCTCTAAATACACTCAATCTTGCCTGATCTCAGGAGCTAGGAGGATCGGCCTTGTGTATTTGGGTGGGAGCCCTCTCTATTTGTACATTAAGGTGACAGGAGTTAGAAATATTATTTGAAAGTCTCTGCCCATTTCGTTCTCCCCTCTCCTCACTCTCAAATATGTGACTGTACATATATTAATCATTTTTCTTTTAATGAGGCAATTTTATCTTTAGAATTTACTTCGTGAGATATTTGGAAAGCAACACTTAAAATATACTTTTATCTCTTGCACTTGCTTCTTTATTATGAATTCAGTATGTTGAAAAGGAAGTGGAGTTTTAGCGCCAAGACTGAGAACTACTAACTACCTGCTATTAAATGCTTATTATTCCTTATTTTAAAGTCCATATCTCTGTTATAATGTACTTACATGGACTATATTTGTCAGCAATAAAATAAAACACTTATTTGGCTATTTTTCATCATGTTTCAAATGGAAAGATTTGAAATTATTTTATAAACATATTATTTTTCTTTTAGATTCAGAAAAATATCAGGTTAGGTTTCGTATTCATGGTATTTTGTTCTTGGTTTGTTAATTTTAGTATTTAGTTCAACTGGTTTCATAGATTAGCTATTTGCATGTCTTACTCCATGAGTTGTACCTGTTGTGTTTGTGATGTACAGAATCAAAGAAGGATAGAGAGAAAATGTGTGAGTCTTTGTATAAACTCACTGTTCTTGATCTTGAATGTATTGAATTATGTTCATGGGGAGGGACAAACAGTCCAGTTTATGTCTTGTATATACTCATGAACAGTATGAACAGGTTTTGTTGTTAAGTTCCAAAATATAATGCTATTAAACTTGACTTTTTTCAACTTTAGAATCTTTATATCAGTAGCAGTATTTTTATTTAAAGCATGTGTGCACTAAAGCATAGTTTATATAGAATTTATTATGAGACTAATCATAATAAATTTAACTTGTACTCTATTGTTGAACATTTAAAACAATGAATGTTGTTGAAAGTAATATTTCCATAAGCAACTATTTAGATTTATCCTAGTGCTTATGTCTAAATAAAGCAAGCAGAGTCCCGTCTGCTTTCTTTTGCTTCAGTTTCTTTCCTGGATTATTCTGAAGTCAGTCTTACACATATATTTTTTCCATTTATATCATTTGTCCCTAGAAGAAAGTGTACTAATGTATTCACACCTAATGTTATTAAATATATATTCAGCATTCACATTTCCCTCACTGTTAAAGAACTGACTAGTTTCTATACTTTGTTAAAGTTGGAAGTCAGGCAAGGGCCATATTTCAGAACTGGTTACCTGGCCTCTTTTGCCTCTTTTTGATTCAGGGTCTCACCATGTAACTCTGTCTGGCCTGGAACCTGCTATGTAAACCAAGCTCCTTGAGTTCACAGAAACTAGACAACTCTAGAGCCCCCTTCCACAGGCTGGGGTTTAAGGTATGCACCACCACTCCCAGCTATACTACCATCTTAAATCTGAGGCTCTGTCTCAGTTTTCTCTTTCCTAATCACTTGTTGACTTTTTGCCTATTTAATGGGCATTAAACAACTTATGTTTTTGCTTACTAGCATATGTGAATTTCTTCCATTTATTTAAGAGTTTTTTCTGTGACTTACCTACTATTCATTTTAGTATTTTTCTTGTACAGTTCTTTTGCAAAATAAATAAATAAATAAATAAATAAATAAATAAATAAATAAATAAATAAATACAGTTTGTTTACGGGCACCTAAATTATGAGGATATTTGTTTATTCGTCAATAATATTGAATTACTATATGTAAATTGCTTAGGAAATACCTATATACTTAGGATTATGCACACAGACATACATGACACACATGACATCAATTAGAGACATGAAGGACATAAATTTGAAGAGAACAGGAGCAGTACATGGAAGCATTTGGAAAAAGGAAATAAAAGGGGAAAATGTTGTAATTGTCTCAAAAATATATTTTAAAATGGGGGAAAATACATCACAATGCAAAACAAGCTCCTGCCTCATTGAACCTCTAATTAGGAAAGAAAATGTAGGTCAATTAAACAGAGTTTAGGAGTAGATTGCAGCTAATTTGCTGGTTTTATAAGCATAATAAAGGTAGTTCTCACTGATAAACTTGAAGAACCTTACAGACATAGCCAGAGTATCTACACTGTGTTTCAAGTAGGGAGAACAAGCCATGCTAAATCATAGCATGGAAATTTGTCTAAGTTGTTTCAAGAAAGGCAAACATGAAATACAACTATTAACAAAGGAAGGTAAATGATAAAATTAGAGTTAAAGAAAAGGCAGATCACACAGAATTATTATTAGGAGTTACTCTATTCTGCATGCCATGGGGATGTGTAGCATGATCTGAGCATAGATGGTGTATTGCATGAATCCTAATGGTCTTAATAAAAACCCGGAGCCAGATATCAGGGTGAAAGCTG